GGTTTAAGAAATAGAATTAGTTTTTTTATTGATAATGGACTGCTTTTATTTCATACTTGGCCTAATTTTTGGATGTTAATTCAAAAACATTTCTTTTAGGATCAAATTATCAGAAGACATTATTTTGATGAAAAAGATTAAAGAATTGATTGATTTTATAATTACAATTATAAAAGAAAATATTAAATATGAGGTAAAAGATAAATACGAAACAGACTTAAATGAGTGCTTATTGGTAAAGACATCTCCTTAGCCTCTTTCGTTTCGAACTTTTTCAATAACTCTATGTAGTATTTGGTTTGGCATTTGAAAGCTGCATGGTCAAGTTCTCGTATTTAAAATTCGAGAAAGAAATTCAATTCTCGCATTATAGATTTAATTATATCAAGGTTGCCGACGAGTGATTAGGACAAGGATTAACTTGTTGCATTATAGATTTTATATTTTATTATTATATATTTTTAAAGATGGAAATAACTTTTCAGATATATTATTTTTCTTTAAAAAATAAATAATGTTCTTTTTTTCTTTGAACTTATTTCAAAATTCATAAAATAAATAGATTGCACAAACATGACTCTATTGGAAATAGGATTTCTCAAACGTGAAAAGATTATACCCCAAGTATTATTTTATCAAATAAATAAGAAAAATGAATAAAAAACAAAATTAAAATTTGACTTTGTGAATAATAAAAATACCACTTAGATTAAGACAGAGAATAACATATTTGTCTTTTCTACTCCCTCTGTCCCATTTTAAATTGTCTGTTTGCCTTTTTTCTCCGTTTCAAAATAAGTTGCTTGTTATTTGTTATCGTAAACTTTTAAGGGTAAAATACCTAAACTACTCCTAAAATAAGTCATTCTTCTCCACCTTATCTTCTCATTCATCATCACCCTTCCTAAAAAGTAATGACAATTTTGAAAAATCAACTCTATTTTTTCTTTTTTTTAAATATGCCCAAAAGTCAAAACATTCGATTTAAAACGGGACGGAGGGAGTAGCATTTTTGTCAACCAGGGAGGCACCAGTGATTCCTAACATTTTTGTCTTTTCTAAAGGTTGTACTCTATTCGCGGTAATTATGATTAAAGGATAGCCACGGTCACGGGGCTAGGCTCTGTTCTAAAGATTAACACAGCCAGACCCGACCCATTTCTGACTCACTACTTTGCATTTCATCCCAATCGCATCAAAGTTGAGAACTTGAAAATTGGTCTATTTCAAAGACGCTGATAAAAATGGTTCACCACTACAACTGAGAGTAATTATTAAGTGCACCAAAATACTAAACACTTAGTCCTTAATAGTGAGGATTTAAACCCAAGTGCTAACATTCTTTATGTTCTTAGTAATTTTCCTATAACTGAACACCCCAAAAATAACAAAATCATAAACTTCCTTCAAAGAATACAGAGGCGGGAGCTGGCACAAAAGCAAGCTTTCGTTCTTTGGCGCATATCACATACGGATTTCAAAGCAACTGAAATATGACGTCTACAATCCAAAATCATAGTAAGGAACAAATGTCTCTTCAAAACAAAGGAAAATCCGAATATAGAACTAGGGACAAGCAATCATTCAATCTTGTGTAGCTGCACCTTGATTGAGCTCGGCAAATCTCAGCCCAACACGCATTGAATGCTTCATGAACTTTTCCGCACATCGGCGCACACATGTCTCCTCCTGTTTGTCCAAAGTTTTGCGACGGAACGTATCAACACAATCAGTAAAGCATCTCTCCACCAGATTGTTGTACATCCGCAGGCTGCAGTACTCCAAAAAACGACAAGATTAAGCACTAGGTGTGTGTTGATGTAGCAAAAACTCTTGCACACATGTACACAAAACAATAACATAATTTAGCCAGAAAGAAAGCTCTGCCTAATCTGGATATAGCTATTCAAAAAGCTAGAGGATCATTGCAATGGATATTAGAAAATGAGTCTCACATGCTATATCATGTTGTAGTCTTCGCATATTTCTTTCAACTGCAACCATGATCAGTTTTTTTTTAATATTTCATCGATTAAAAAGGTTACTACTTGAATTTAATAGATTATCAACCTTATCACCCGGAAGTTTTAACTAATGAATTTAATAGATTATCAACCATATCACCCGGAAGTTTTAACAAATAATAACGGATTTGATTGCATGACTGATGACTCAAATCGGTTGTTGCTTAAAACATAGTGCTTGATGTTGTTTTTTCACCTGAGTTCATAAAAAGATAGAAATGAAACATTTTTTTGTCATTTTTAGGGACTTATTTTATTCATTCTACTAAGAAAAAATATATTTTTCACTAATCCAGCAACTTCAGTCATTTCAACCAGAGTTACACTTATAAACATGCTCTACATACATTTTAGCTAAACGACAAACTCAAACAGAATAAATAAAACATCAAGAACACCTAAAAGAATCAAAAGCTGTTTTTCCTAACATCACTAATATGCATTTTTTCATTATTAGAGCTAAAAACTTGCATTCCAAATTTATTGTTTTCATTCAATTAATTTTAAGGTTTTTATAGTTTTAATTCTTGCTCATATACTCTTCAACTTCGCATTTAACTTGTAGAAAAGGTTTATAATCTATCGACAAGCATGATTCCATCTACGAGCAACAGGCACCATGTTATTTAACAAAGTTAATCTCACAAAACATATGTGTAAAGCTAACCATAAGGAGTGGTGATTCTGTGCACCCAAGGTCCACGCCTAATATCTAGACCTTCTCACAAAAGTTATTGGGCTTAGGCCTTAGAAAGGTAAGTGCAAAATGCCAGTTTCGCCCAAGCTAATGTGCATAATCTTAATCTTAATCCCCTTATCTTAATCCTAATCCTAATCCCCTGATCCTAATCTGAATCTTAATCTTAATCCTAATCGTAATCCCCTAATCCTAATTAGGGCTGTTCATCGGTCCAAGATCGGACCGAACTGGACCGAAGACCGAACATAAATCTATTCAGGTTTGGACGGAACTAGACCAAAATACTTAGGACCGAACCAGTTCAGACCAATTGGACCAAATAAAAATCCATATTTTTAATTATTTTTATCAACTAAATGTATTTTAGGCTTTTTAATTTGTACTGAGCAAATAGAAAAAAATAAAAAAAAGAAACCTAAAAATAAATACACAATACGAACTACTTCTATGTAGAATCATAAGACCTAATGTAAAACTTTTTTTCAATTTTTTTTTAAAATTACTTAATAAAAATCTTTTTAATTAAATAAATTAAGATATCCATGAAAATAGAACATCAAAGTGTAATACGGAACTTAAAAAGTAGAGCTTTAATATTTAGGTTTTTTAGATCTGGTTGGGTTATTAGGTCCAATCGGTCCAGACCTAAATCATTGTGTTTGGACCGAATCAGACCGAAACCCGAACACCTATATTTTATGGACCGAAGACCGACCCAAAATCCATTCGGTCCGGGTTTGTTCTGGACCTAATAGTCTCGTTCAATCAATTTTTTCGGTCCAGATCTAAACGTGAACAACCCTAATCCTAATCCTAATCCTAATCCTAACCCTAACCCCCTAATCATAATCCGAATATTAATACTAATCCTAATCCTAATCCTAATACTAATACTAAGGAGTCCACATTAGGTCCATAACTCCATATAATTGAAATAGATGAGAGAACCATGGAAGTATTTGCCGACCATAATAATATCCAAGATGAGACATCATGGTGCGTGTTACTCATAGATAGCATCATGCTAGTAGATAGATGATAAATCTATTGTAATGGCTAAATGCTAAGTGCATGTTCTAGATGGAAAAATAGAGCTGGATCTTGGAAGAAACTGGAAAGTACTTGAAAAACTGAAACTACAAGAAATTGGAAGGAACTGGAAGAAACTTAAAAGAACTCGAAGAAAATGAAAGGAACCAGAAGAAATTAGATGGGAGTGTCAAAACTAGAAAAATTGGAAAATCTAAAAAAACTTTTAAAATTTGTCATTATTATTAGTTTATTGTTATAATTTCTTCATCTTATTATTATTATTAGTATAACTATTATTATAATATTCATAATCACATTATCTTAATCAATGACTTTAAGATAAAAAATATATATTGTCATTTTTTATACACAAAAAAAATCAACTTTTGAAAAAAAAGAAAAGAATTAGAATAAAAACTTATGAAAAATATTAAAATGTTAAATTTTAATAAGTTATTGTGGTTATGTTGCACCTCAATTTATTTATGCAAGATGTATTATAAAATAATATATTTGTAATTACACTTTATATATTACAAGATTTTGTTTTAAATATCAGAGTTGTCACATAATGTTATCAAATCCATTTTTTTCTTTCATGATTGACATTGTATTTGCATTGTAAGTACTATTCTAGGAATAAAAACATAGAACTCCTAATTTTTTTAATATATTTTAAAATATGATAATTTCCTTTTTTATCATATAGATTAATAGACAAAAAAAATTGAGTTATTTAAATTAAAAAGTTGAAAAAAAATAATGAGTGTGAATTGTTAAAATAGTGTCAGGATGAAATAATTTATAAATTGTAGTTATGAACATAATAGTTGTAATAATAATAATAATAATGAAGATAATACTAATAATAATAACAGTATATTAATAAAAATAATAATATAATAATAATAATCACATTAAAAATACATTGCTTTTAGAGTAATTGTTTGGGGAGTGGAAAGAATTTGAAGAAAATGAGAATAGATTGAAGGAACTCGAAGGATCTTGAAGGAATTGGAAGATAAGAGTTTAAGTTCTGAAGAACAAGCTCTACGTTGAGCAAGAATCAAAATTATAAAACTCAAAAATGGATTGAAGTAAAACAATGTATTTGGAATGCAAATTTTTTGGCACTAAGAATGATAAAACGCATAGTGGTGTGGTTAGGAAACAAATAAGTCCAAGTTGCAATAGTTTTTCAAGTACTCGGTATCCCACAAGACTAATTCACGCATGAATTGTAAATTTATAACGTATGAAGATAAAAAAAATTGAAAAATTGGGATAGTTCAGACTAATGCAGTTAAGATTTTTAGCTATGCTGGAAAGTTTTGGCAGACATACAATGCTACTGTAATGTGCCACTCAGATTATAAAAATAAATTTATAAGACTGCAATAATACTTTCTTGATATTTTATTATGGAGATTTAATTGGTGGGAGATGAAGAATGGTTGACTAAAGTAGATGAGTGTGGCAGAAGTGTAAGTATGGTCAATAACAACAGCGCAGTGGAATCTAATCCTACGAGATTAGGGTTAGGGTGGAGGGTGATTCCAAGAGACACCCGGCTCAAGTGGCACAAATAGCTAAAGCTCACAGAGGACACAAAAAACAGAGAAATCATAGAGCAAAAAAAAAAGCAAAGAACAAAATATTTAAGACTAAGGGAATTGTAAGTGTGGTATCACAACAAAATACTGATGGCACAACAAAAAGATTCTGAAGGCAGTATATGTTGAAGCTATTGATAAAAAAGTAAAAGAGAATTGATTGTGTTGGTTAAGGTAAATCAACTGTTGAGAAGTGAGGGCCCAACTACGAAGAGGGGAGTTTTGAAGTGTCATGGTACCGAAACAAGACATGCTTGCACTAACACTCCCTCCATCTGAACTGTGTAACCTGGCGAGTTCTTCTGTTGAGAACATTTATCCTCTTGGCATACGAAGCACTCCATCGGTGGTTAATGTGAGTTGCACTTTTATTTTTCTTTATCGATCAATCCAGGATTATACATTAATAGCTACCTATGTGACTTGGTAAGAAAGCCTATTTCCTTTTGTATATCACATTTCTCAAATTTATCAAAAGACCATATTTTAAACCCAGATCATGAAGTGTAAAGTACCTGATTATAACAATCAATTAGAGATAAAAGCAGTACTAGCAAAGAAGCAAGTGTTGAATGGTAGATAATGTCATGAAAGTAAAAGCTAATAGGAATACGGAGAGTGGGGATGGGAGGGGAACCTGTCCCGGATTTGGAGTACATTCATCATGGTAGACATACGAGCCTTATCTTCCTCGGGAAGATTGTCCAGATCGCTAAGCATGCTCTTATCCATTCTGCCGGTTAGCTTCGCCGATTCACCTCTCGGATTTTAGGAGAAGAGTAAAGCCTAAATGTTGTTCGTCTTTATGGTACTCCGGATGACTGTATGAGTGAGGAAACCCTAGCTATCCACTCCGTGCTCAGTAGTTCGTATAGATAGCTTTTGAATACAGAAATGTACTTCCTCCCAAAAATCCCAAAATTTCAGGTTGGGGTGGGTTCGGTACGATTTCACCCAAAACCATAAACAAAATGGATTATGCTATGTGTACCCCAAGATTTGTACCCCAATTTGTTAAACGCACCAACATTTGTGTCCGTGTTAATTTTTTTTAACGCACCAACACTTGTGTCGGTGTAAACCATCGAAATGTTTGTGCAAACCTGTGGTGTACAAATGGGGTATATTTTTTGGTGTAAGTGTAGCATGGTCCAAACAAAATTGATGGTAAAGTACTAAAGTATTCCACTCGTTTTTATACATACTAAAAACTACTCCTTCCGTCCCATTTTAAATTGCTCGTTTGTCTTTTTTTTCGTCCCAAAATAAGTTGTCTGTTAGTTGTTTTCGTAAACTTTTAAACATAAAATACCTAAACTACCCCTAAAATAAGTCACACTTCTTTACCTTATCTTCTCATTCATCATCACCCCTTCTAAAAAGTAATGACAATTTCGAAAAATCAACTCTATTTTTTATTTTTCTTAAATATGCCCAAAAATCAAAACAGACGATTTAAATTGGGACGGAGGGAGTAGTTTTTTACCCCGTGCTTCGCACGGGCTGGGATTGTATGCACGTGTTTGTAATATGGAATTTTGATTTTGGGTGTTATGCGTTTAACTAAGTGGTTAAGGCCGTTAAACGAAGATTTAGTTGATGTATACTTTATGTAAAGCATACAAAACTTTTAATATTTAAATAAGTCTTTAATTTCTTCCCTACTATTGCATTTGCATCAAGATGCGCCACTGTCAAGAAAAAGTTAAGTGAAAGAGAAATAATTCCGAAATGTTCTAATTTCTAATTGGGAAAATATCATTTTAGTATAATAATGCAAACAAAAAGACCAACAATACTTATTTCACTTACACACAACTTAAAAATAAATCAATTCAACTCGATTATTAAGAAACTAAATAATTCATTTTGTTAGAGTTTGATGGTTTTGTCACTGATATGTCTATAAATTACAAAATTTGACAAAAAAAGAAGCAATGTAATTAAATATAAACATCTCTTTTCATTTAGAAAGTACAAAGATGTTCATGGTCCATGTATAACATCAACTTGTTGCATTCCATTGCTCTGCATGAACACTACATAAACATAAGGAAATGAAGCAGCTCTAAGAGGAGAATTTAGACACAAAGCACAACAATCCCAATAAAGTCCTACAAATAGTATAGTCTATGGAGGGAGTGTGCGTGCAAAAATTAACCTTACTACATGGAGACTATTTCCAAAAGATAAAACACATGTTATAGAATTCATCTTGTATTATGGACGGACCACAATATAAATTAGTTTAATTGTCATATTTAGAATACTTCACTTTCAGATGATATTTTTGTAATTTGTAATTAATATTTTAAGATTTTAATATGTCAATATCATTGGACGTGTTACTTTTAAATTTTTGTGAAGAATATGGGATTGATAAAGTTTCTAATTATCTAATATTTAAATTAAGGCCATAAAATTTTAAAAATGACCAAATTTTTAGTAGTTTAGAATTTAACTTTTAAATTTTAAGTTTGATGGGGGCTATTTACCCTAAATGAAAAATGTGTCACAACTGCCACGTTTTGAATTCAACACTTGTTGTGGAGTTGTTTAAATACTCATACATTCAAATACCTTTGTGAGTCCACAACTCAGAACATATCACAATGTGCAGGTAGTGAAACTTAGAGTTAACTTACCTCCATTGATTAAAATGAATCTGCAAAGTACCGCCATTTCTATTAAGAGTTTATTCCTTTCACTTGTGGTCATTTAAAAGTGAGACCAGACCTCTTTGGCTTGAGGACAAATCCAGAAGAATGGCTCAATTTTTTTTGCATTCTTGCAGGAATATCATTTGGAAGCAAGTTTGAACAAATAAAAGGCTTTTACTTATATCATGAATATTGCGTGGCTTTTTTTTCAAAGACCCAAAGAAAAATACAAATAACAATGAATTGGAAATGATAAAATTTCAAAAATAGGAATAAGAAACAAACCAAGATAGAGAAAGATAGTGATATGAACTAAGAAACTGGCCTTAGATTGCCCGACATGTGATTGTCGGAATAAAAATTGCCTGTTGAAATTACTCACTTCTCTAGTGTCCATGTTAATCTGTATAGTGCAAGAAGCAGTGCAAGATTAAACACTCGAGATAACAAAAGTAAAATAAAAATAATATGGATGAAAGAAAAAAATCATCTAGTCACTTATATCACGTGCCAAAGTATAAAGTATTGCATTAATATTCTTTCAATTATAGTTTATAATATATCTCTTCATTCTTCAATATAAAATCATACATGGAAGCATTCCAGTTGCTTAAAACATCAAACAAAGCAACGAAACATACACTATGTGCCCAATTTTAACCTTGGTCACCCAGATATACATACAAAGAAAATACAACAAGCTAAGCAGTGAAGCTCACCTGTCAGCATAATTTAATGAGAATAATCAGAATACTATAACTCACCTATGTTCTAAATCTTTAGAGTATAAATAAATGATTTTCCCAACTAAAGAATATGTATTCTCACCAATTCCCTATTCATAGCTTTAAGTTTCAACTAATTAAATCCCACACAATTACCGGTAAATACAAAAAGCTAGTTTAGAATCTATGATTCTTGGCTTATAAAATCTCCCTAATTGAATCAAAGAACAACCCAAAAACAATAGCATGGTCATGAGGTGCAAATGAGCAGCAGCCTTGTTCTTTATAAATGTCATATTTGAATAGTTTCCACTTATAATATGTGTCGATGCCAACTTCCAAGTAAAAGCAAAAGTTTCTCATAGACTCATACATGAAAAATATGTCTTGATTTTTTCCTAAAGCACACTTACAACTATAGACCTATTAAATAATTCATTTAACTATCATAAGGAATAAGAACTAAGCTAGCGGAGCAAATACTTAATCCATATATATCCATATATATATAGATACATACATACATACATACATACATACATACATACATACATACATACATACATACATACATACATACATACATACATACATACATACATTGATATATATCCGGGAGCATGCCCGAAGACTCTCCGTAGCCCGCCAAGGGAAAGACAGATCAGGGGAATAAAGCCCAAGTGTGGTGACATTAATTAGGTTGAAACTTCTCCATTTTCCTGTCTTAGAACCCAACCCAACACCATGGTTGTCCTACACCCACCTAGGCTGAGCCCACACTCTCCATACCTTCCCTAAACATCCAAAATATTTCTTTTTCAAAATAAAGTTTTCCTACTCCTATTTTAGGCCCTTGCCGAAAATAAGAGTGTGTAAACCACAACCTTTGTTTGTTGTTATTTTCTTTCTTTTAAACCTTTTAATAAACAAATAAAACCTTCTATCCTTTTCTATAAATCCCAGGCCAAACTTCCCTCATTTACCCCAACACCATCTCAAGACCCCCGGTTCACCCCTAACATCTGGTATCAAAGCTTTGTGTTGAACATCCCTAAGGGATCATCTTTACACGTCTCCCTCATCCCTGTTGTTACTATCAATTTTCAAGCAATATATCCACCATGCCAAGCTCTTCTCCAAACATGTTTCAAGATGAATTAGCTACTGCCCAAGAGAAACTAAAGAAGGAAGTTGAACTGGTGATGAAACAAGTCAAGGAGCTCACAAACTCAGTGGAAGTCCCTACTTTTGAAGGAAGAATTGACCCGGAAAAGTTCTTAAAGTGGTTAGCCAAGGTTGAACACATCTTTACCATCAAAGATGTTCCTGAAGATAAGATGATCTACTTGGTGAACTAACATCACCTCTGGAAGAAAACTTGAGGGAAAAGCTAAAGTGCAAACTTGGGAAAAGATGCGAAAGCTTTTAACCAAGAATTTCTTGCCTAGAGATTACAAATTCAAGGTACCTGTGAACATTTACTCCTTCCCATCCAAAACCCCTTCCAAAACCACACCACTACCCCCACAAAAACTTCCCTCATTTATCCCAACACCATCTCAAGACCCCTGCCCCAAAACCTTTCCGAAATCATGTCTTCACCACTTATCCCCTTAACCACTGCCCAAAGCACTCCACAAGCTATCCCCATCCTCACGACCCAAAACCAGCATAAAACAACCATCTTACACCCTCCTAATATTTCCCAAGAGACTAAAATAGCTGCTGCCATCTCCACAACCCGCACCTCCTCCAAAAACCACCCATCAACCCATCAGCATATTACCCAAGAAACCCTTAAACATGTTCCTCTCCAAGAACCTACCAAAACTGCATCCTTCACTCCAATTTCTACTATCCAAGAGCTACCTACAATCAAGCCTACGAGCCCTTGTTGTTACCCTTCTCTAAAGGTTGGAAACTATGCTATCATGTGTCCAAATAAGAGAAAGGTGATCTTCACTCAAGATGTAGAGGAACAAGGAAGCCAATATCCTGCAGATCCCAAATTTATTCAATCCCATAAATCAAGCCAATCACCCATTTAATGTATTGGTCCGTTGGAGCCTATTTTGGCACTATAAAAAGGGGTGTTTGGGTTTGCTTTTCTTATCAATTCACTTCACAATATTCATATTATCATTGCATTCAAACAACATCATTTTTCATAGCTTTCTAGAGCCAATTTGTGAAGTTTGAGTTGTTCTTGAGCGTATATAGTTTACTCAACATCTACTCTAAAAGAGAGCCTTGTTCTTGAGTGTCTTAGTGTTGTATACACGTTAAGGGAAGCTTGTTTCCCTTGGTTGTACGAAGGAAAGGTATTTTCCTTCGGGCTGAAGTCTTGGAGTGCGGTATCTCCGAGAAAGTGTTGTTGAGGCTCGTGGGACTCGAGTTCTCAGGTTGTAACGGTTTGTTAAGNTTTAATGTATTGGTCCGTTGGAGCCTATTTTGGCACTATAAAAAGGGGTGTTTGGGTTTGCTTTTCTTATCAATTCACTTCACAATATTCATATTATCATTGCATTCAAACAACATCATTTTTCATAGCTTT